AATGGTTTTTTTTTTTTTTTTTTTTAGGACATACACTGTCGGTTGAAAGTTTCGACTGGTTGTATCAATTTATGGAAATGGAGTTGATATGAATTTTTTTGTGAATTTGTAAATTAATGGTAATTGAAGATTACAGAGGAAACAGGATGAGTGTCCGTTTAATTTTATTTGGAATAAAATGAATTTTATATGGTAAAGATTTATAGCGATTCTTCAGACATTGTTGGATTAATTAATAAAAAGTATTAACAAAGACACCGTACAATGCACACTCTCATCCTCTGATGTTCTCAGATTTTTTCCCATGTACTGTCATTGTTTAATGAAGCTTTCATCTCTTCTCTCATTTATAAATACAAAACTGAATTCCACAATAAAAAATACTAGACATAATAGGTAAAGAAAGATGAACCCTCATCCTTTCCCTCTTCAAAGTTTCTTAAATGTCTAATTTATTCCTGAAAATTCTTGCAGTGGTTCTAAATTTTGAATAACCCTGCATATTAATCAGTTACTTTCTTCTGATTCTCAGAGATAGACACAAAAAGCACTATTAATAATTCTAGTTCATTGTACACATTGCACTCTCCTCTTTATCTTAGATAAGAGCTTAGGTCTTAAGCCACACTTTGCAATAATCCTCATTTCTCTTAGACGCACTTGCTTCCAATATTTCATACGCTGTTTCCAATAAATCCTTATCACTGAGAAGAAGAAAAAAAAGAATGGAAGAGAGCGTGACAGTCCAACCGTTAACCGGAAACGATCCTACCTCCAAGTATATCTCAAGCACAGTGGAAAACACGAGAGTGGCAAGAGAAAGAGGAGAGAGAGTGACGAGAGACAGAGGGAGAGACAGGGAGAGCCAGAGAAACAGAGGGAGAGACAGGGAGAGCCAGAGAAACATAGGGAGAGATAGGGAGAGCCAGAGAAACAGAGGGAGAGACAGGGAGAGCCAGAGAAACAGCGGGAGAGACAGGGAGAGCCAAAGTGACAAGAGAGAGGAGAAACTGGTGAAAAAGATGTCATTATCCTTATCAAACGACTAAAAATCCTTCTTACCTTCAGGATCGAGAAGCCTCGTAACGCCATACTCGCGCTCCGCGACGTAGAATACCCGGTCGAGCCGCTCTCTTGGCTGACTTGCTCGAGCTCCTCTCCAATCGACCAAATCTGGCCTGTTCCTGTGTATCAACGCGCTGAAAGCCAGCCCGTCTCTCCACGATCCTGTAAAGTCTGTTACGTGTACACCAGGATAACGCGCTGTCGATCTTCTTGCCCATCTGAGTAGAGCCTCGCGGGCAGTTACGTTCGGTTCTTGACCAACTACAATATCTGATATCTAGGAGAGACAACGAAAAGAAAAGAAAGGTCAAAGTTCGTCAACAAATAAATTCTTATACACCTTCTAACAAAATATTTTCATTATCATCAGGGGTATATACACATGTATATTTTGTTTTCGTTTAAAGGTAAATCTGACACGTCGTCGAAGCCTCGACACGTCGTTTCCGCTTGGTTCGCCCTTCGATGCTTCTGCGATTCGAAATGTCTACGTGATGCTATGTCGGTGGAGGAAATACAGCTTAAGCAGTGAACTATAAGGCAGCATCGAGTGATCGTGATAATGAATTAACACATACGTTCGTTATTCATCGGGTTATTTTCGCTTTGTGTTTCTTCATATCTGCACCATTTTTATCAGCCTTACGTAATACAACGCATTACGTAATACATGCGTAATACTTGTGTACACGTAATTTTTATTAAATACCCACACTGTGTATTTTGTTTGATGTATTTTGCACTCGTTGACATCGAGCTATCATGAGAAATAACGTGTCGTATTATTTATGCGACGTTGATAACGAACGTGTTAATGAAACAATAGAGAATGAAAGTATGTCTCTGGGGTGATCAGTTCTCAAGGTTCCTCTGGTTTTATCACCTTCGCTATATTTCTTCCACCGACTATACTATTTTCCTATCCAACGATCTTACACTCTAAGAGATTAACAGAGATTAACTCTTACTATTACTGTATACATGATTAATTTTCTTTTTCTTTCTAATTATTGTTATTTTGTACATAGAAATGTATACTCTTGCAAATAAATAAATAAATAAAAATTCCCTGGTACCAAGCATGAACACAAGAATTAAGGATAATTTCCCCTTTGGATATTTGGTACCACTAACAGAACAATTTTTTATTTATCTCCATGACAAATTTTGATCTGCTCTTTGTATTATTTTACATAGAAATGGATGTAATGCTCTTTCAATATTTGACACCACTGAAACAATAATTTTTCATTTATCTCCATGACAAATTGTTATCCGCTCTCAGTGTCATCTCGTACACAAACGGATGTACACTCGTAAAAATAAATAATCAACTAAAAATATCCTGCCACCAAGTGATAACAAGGATCAAGGACAATTTCCATACGCGACATTTGTTACCCACAGAGAAGAACAAATCTTTCAGTTTCTCCGTGACGAATTTTGCCAAGGTGACACACGCTTACCCGCACGGTTTTCGGCTTTGGCGAGGCCTGCCTACTCAAGGAGAAGGAGGAGGAGGAGGCCGCGGTGTCCTGCAAGTAGCCAGCGGAGGCTCGTTTCGTCAGATCCTCGGCCACGCATCTTTCCTCGCCACGCGTTAACGTGGTCGTTTTACGAACAATCCTGGTCACGATACGTTTCGTGCCATTCTCACCGCGTCTCGACGTCTTCGTTGACTCGATCGACGATCCTAAATCGTAGCGTTATCAGTTGCTACGTAAACAACAACACCTCGAGAGACAAATCCTCCCGCCCGAAAAATATTCCACACCGTTTCGTGTCTATTAACACGACGCATCCGTGAGACGAGTTTCGAAGATGTGCTCTCTTCTCCCAGTGTTTACGATACGAAATCGCGTCACGATCGATTCCAGATTGGCCGTGTTCCAAGTTTCCCCTATTGATCGTCATCGTTGATCGTGACGCGATTCCTGGATCTTTAACCCTTTAACAGGATCGTGTGTTTAGGAAAACACTCGTAAAGAGGTTATAGAGATATAGCGTTGAAACGTGAACGAAATATATGATTATATCTCTTCTTTTATTTTCGACAATCTCTGAACTGATGTAAGGATTACGTGTTCTAATAAACGAGCGGTAATAAAAACTTGTCTGAGTCAATTCTTAGTAATAAATGATCCAATGATATCACGAAAGATTCTCAGATTTTAGATGAGGTCAATTTTGGATGTACATAATAAATCTATTAGAGCAGCCGAATCTTTTTAAATCTTTTCTGCGTCTACTGTTTCTAATTCGTTAAATTGCTTCTATAAAGCTACCAATAAATCTGACGACGTTAATTTGAACGGTAAAAAAAATTGAACCTTGCCCTTGAATCTCATCTTTCGTCACCTTGAATCCACTGTCAAAGGGTTAAAATCAATCTGGATCAATTTTCAGATAAAAGAAGAAATCTTCCATGAAACTCGTCGTACACAGATCTCCCTAATTCACCAAAGTTCCTACCTAGAACCTCGGTCGAGAGTCTCCGTTTGGTATAGATCGCTCTCAAATCATCGTTGACAGGCGCCGCGGCTGTCGAAGCAGGTGAAACGACGTTCTCTCGAGCGTCGTCTTCCCTCGTACCCTGCACGAACAACCTTCCTCCCTTGCTAAACCGATAGATCGACATATCTCGGTGCAATTGGTCGAACGAAGAAGAAGAAATGAAGAAGATCACGATTCTCTTCTCTGGAAGAAACTTAACATCGAGCACGTACGACCGTTCATTCGTAGCCTTATCCGGCGCCTTCGCTCGGTTAACGTTCGTGAAAGCCGATTATATCGCAGATCGACCGACCGTTCGTTCGTTCGTTCGGTCTCGTCTCACCGTTAGTCCAAGTCAGAGAGAAGAGCTGGCGCGCCACGGAACGCGTTTATCGATTCGCCAAACTCTCCTCGTCGATTCTTATCTTCTCTCTACAACGTTCCAACTTCGTCTGAACTGAAGTAACGATTTTCGATCGTCCGAACTGCATCGATACCATCTATCTTCTTCTTCGTCTATTAAGCACCAAAACACTCGCTGATCGATAAAGTAGAGAGAGAGAGAGTAAGGAGGGGATCTACAAAACTGCTACTCTGTGAAAACAGCCTACGGCGCGGAACTTGTTGTGCTCACCGGACCGGGAGACAATGTCGAAGTAACGAACACACACGGGTAGAAATAGAGTCGAATTGCCTTGGAGTAGTATGAATAATAGTAACGATACCGATAGATCGATAGAGAAAGTGACATTAGAGTAACCGATAACAGCCCGTGTGTAATGGAATTAAATCGTTATCGATGAAGTGTGACACTTGAAGAAAAAACAATAAAGAGACAGAGAGATTCTATGTGTGAAAGAGACGCGTGAGTGGCCCAAACTAAGCGCGTATCGCGAACCGACTGGCGTACACCTCTCCATGGTATAACTCCGATCGAGACCGATCCCCACTTCAAGAGGTTCCTCCTGTGCTTCTTTGCGCGTTCGCTGTTCTCCGCTCGTCCGCACGTTTCACCGGTAAGGTTTCACGACGCGTTCCCTCCTAGCTAGGTTCCCCGTGTGTGACACGTGTCTCCTTTCGTAAGTTGCTTACGAGAATGATTTTCCTTCACGGTGTGTTGTTCACAAGGAGAGCGAAAAAAAATCAGTAAAAAAACATGGTCAACGATGATTTAAACACGCGTGAATCGGCGTAAGAGAAACAGGATACGTCGCGGCGATTCACCGACACGAACGACGACAGCGTTTGTATCCGGCTGCCGTCGCGAGAGTAGGCCAACGAAATGCGCACAGGTGAGAGACGCCTCCGACAGTCGCCCCCCTTCTCTTCGTTCGCTACTCTCTTTCTCTCTTTTTCTCTCTGCTTACCAGTGTTACTCTCTGTTCACTCTCTCTCTCTCTCTCTTTGTGTCTGTCCAACACCACGTTCGGTCCTCTCTCTCTTTCTCACTCTCTTCCTCGATGGCTGCTCGTGTTTGTCATACCGTAGCCTGCACCTCCATTCTGTTCTCCACCCTTGCACATCTTCGATGTTTTTCCGTATTTTCTTTCTATTTCTTCTTCGTTTAACTACCAGGATTCTCTTCTGTCTCTCTGTTTGCAAAATTATTCGTCCTCTTCGTCGCGTATGTAATATACACGCGATGGTATTTTTGCCTGTTGCGCTCTCTACATTGTGTTATTATTGTGGATAGGCCCTGGTGCAAGATCGCGCATGCGCCCGCGCAATATCGGCCGAGTCATCGGGTAACGAACGTTGCTGTTGCAACGAGTAGCGAAGCAGCGTCGCCGAACCCAGACCCCACTTCTTGATTCTGCCACGCTCGACGCGACGCCTGTGTGTTGTGCTGCTCTACTCGTCCGTCGCGCATCGTGTCCTTCCTCCTTTTCCTTTTCCAGGGATTTTTACGATTCACCGTGGTGGCACAGTAACGCTCCGTAACCGCCGCCTTCGATACATACCTCGATTCTTCTTGTTGTTACAATATACGTATACCGTCTTCGAAGAGTTACCTAATTCGTGGCTCGTTTTGCTTTGTAAATCGGATCTCTCGTTTAATTGGACGCGTTGGTTTTATCCAGAGGACGAAGTATACGCAGTAATTATCTTTCGGTTTGTTATTTCAAATTGATAATTTAATGGACGCGTTGGTTTTATCCGGAGGACATAAATACACTTACTGTGACAGAGGTTATGGGGGAGGGGGGAGAGAGAACGACGGATGGAAAAACGAGCGGAGGACGAGAAGGGAACGAAAACAATGCCTAAATAAGTGGCGTCGGCGTGAAACAAGCGAAAATAGGACGCGGTGTCCCTGAACGGTGGAAAAAAAAAGGAACGGAAAACGAGAGAGTCGACGAGAACATGAGCGGTGCTCGCCGAGACCGGACGTGACGTCATCGCGCCCGCGAATGCTTGCTAAGGCTCGAGCATCGCTTCCGTTACGCGGCCGACCGCGTGAACCGATCGCTAAGAGATCCTCGAGGTTCGTTTGTGATTTCAACGAATTGCTACAATTGCTCGTTTCCGCTTTAGATCTGTGATTTCGAAAATAATTTCGTCCAATTTAGTGGTAAATCACTAAGAGACGAAGAAGGATCGAGATGAGAGTTTGGAGCTACACTTTTTTTCCTGTGATCTGTTAATACAAATTTTGTACAGTATAAGCAAACAGTTTAATCTCTATTCCTTTTATCCCTTCGACTGTCAGCGCCAATACGAGCTCTGCCGATAATCGACCTTTGGATCGATCGACTGTTATACTTATGTTTTATATTCATATACTATTCATTTTATCGAGCAAAAAAGTGATTTTGCCAAAGTCGTGTACCCTGGTCACTTAACTCATGCACATGTTTCGTAATTAGTTATTATCAATACTATATCTCGATGCTTTACTTTGAAGTGGGGCCAACAGTCAAAAATTTAACGTACAACACGAAACAATCGATAAATCGAATACTTCCAGATCCCTAACCTACGTCATTTTCATTTATAACCTAAAAATTGTGCAACATTTTACCTCGTTTCACAAAAACTCATAAGGCAAGAGGTTAAGTTGCATCGAAATCACATTCGTGCGCTCTGAAGAAGGAAAAGAATGTCTGGAAGGGTGTGAAACTGTCGAGGATGCGCATAACGCGCTAAAAAGGAACGCAGTCGGTCGCGAGTCGCGACCTTGGCCGGTGGCGTCATTCGCGTTTTTGTATTCGGTGCTCGATCGACCGATTCCGATTATCATAATTACAAGGTGGGCGGCTCGCGACCGGGGAGACGCGTCGCGATACGACCACCTCCCACGTCTCGGAATACCGCGTCGCTTTAGACTGGCTGTCAACCTTCCGTGTGTCTTGTTGACTCGACGCGTAAACGTGAAACTACCATAAACGGGCAGCTTGGTCGCGGAACGTAAGGACACCCGTCACTGTCAGCTCAGCGTCACGAATAATCACGCGGTCTCCTCTCGAAGCCCAAAGGAAATGAATCTCTTGATCTAGTAAACCGCCTTCCGGGGGTTTCAAATGCGTGGGACGACGCGGCTGTGTACGAGCTACGAAGTCTGAACAGCGAGCGCCATCTAGCTTTTCGATCGGTTCACGCGGTCGATAAGAGATCGAGCCAAGATGGCTGATGGTTATTAGACGTGTGTCAGAATGGTAATGAGATTAAATTTTCAAGATTCGATAAGAAATCAAGTGAACGAAAATAGATAAAAGCAAAAGAAAGAATGTATTCGATTCGAATCATGATTTCCTTATACAAATATTCCAAATTCCTTTTTCCCCCCTATTTTTGTTTTTTTTTTCTTTTTTTTTTCTCGCAAGGGAACCACTACGGCATAAAAATGTAGGGGAAGAAAACTTACCTTGCGTCGCCAGCTCTGCGGCGCGAAACAGAACAGAAAACACACCATATTAGACATAAGATGGTCATTATCTTTGGAGCCGCTAGTTAATAAAGTAAATATGGGTAAATTGGCTCGAACCGGCGGGGAGCACTTCTCGCCTGCTCGTGGTTCGCCAACAAATAAGAGGGGGGGGGGGGGGGAGAAAGAGAGAGAGAGAGAGAGAGAGAGAGAGAGAAATATAAATTCTGACGCGAGTGTTGCATCACGGGGGTTTAAAACGAACACTGTCTCCCTTTGTGCGGTCGCGTAACGCGGTTAACTCCGCGTTCAGAAACTGCTTTTTTAGCCCTGGTCGTCCGCAGACGATCTCCGCGGCGTCCTGACCGTTTTTAAACGGCGCCGCGTAATCGCGATCCCGTTCGAGGCGGCGCCGGACGAACGTCGTCCAGAAACGCTAACTCGCTTTCGATCGGAACGAGAATCGCGAGAAG